CATGTGATAGAGCAAATAACGATTCTCTCATTTGAATCCACCTGGGGAAAAAAATACATGTTCAGATTGTCTCAGAGCAGCTCATATACTGGACTACAAACCACTGAAACCTAAGGTGCCAGCTGCCCCTTCCTTGTTTTCATTTATGCAAAAATATATTTATACAAAATGTGATTAATAATGAAAAAAATTGTAAGACCGAAATGGCCATGTTTTAAATTGTCATCTGAACTGTTTCAGTAAGGAATACTGATTGCCAGGGAAGTTTTGGCTTTTTTCTCTGAACCCACTCTGAAAAAGTTGTGTGGCCCCCGGATCCAGCTGTTCTTTCCACATAACAGCAAGACAAAGGAATGTTTTTTTTTTCATTTAACTTCTCCTAATGAAATATTTGTAACAGTTAGAAACACGATACTCTGTTCAAAGCACTCCCAGGTAAAATGGTGGTGGTGGGACTATGTATAGAAGCCTTGTTCTGCAAATACAGTAATGTTTTCAGATTATTAACTTAGCTTATCCCATATTTAGTCATATGAAAACAGCATGGAGAAGGCAGCCACTCTGGGCGGTTCACAAAACAGGATAAAACAATAACATAACAACAAGAATCAACAATGAGAAAGGAAATATAAAATGAACTAAACAAATGGCACTAAGACACCACATAATAAAAACATAGTAAAGTAAAATAAAACCATGTACAGTCTGTTGCCTCTATAAATGCAAGTGCATGAAACTTTGACATTCAAAATTTCACATCGATTTTAAGGGGCACGTAGTGATTTCGTATTTGGAATACTTTTAAAATGCATTCATAAATTGTAATAAAAGAATTGAGTCTCTGTCCTGCAGTACCATGTTCAGCCTCTCAGTGGCATACAAGTACACTAGCTGCCTCAGAAGAGGGCTCCTTAAGAGTAGCGTTCTTTTCAAGAAGGATTGAGGTTTGAACCAAATGTGTCATGTTCCTGTCAGAGGAGTCCTACAGTGAGGACAAAGCCAGCACTCTGGAAACCAGTAGGAAAGAACTCTCCAGCCACACAAACCATGAACACTTGGGGAACCAAGAAGCCCGAAACTGTAGAGTACCAAGGCTGAGTCAGAGGTGGAGGCACACAGGAACAAAGAAAGCTGAAGACACCAGTCTTGGTTGAAGCCCCAAGGCAAAGCGCTCAGCTGCAGGGAATGACTCCTCAACAGATGTAGTGAGTCTCCTCAAGAAAAGGCTTTTCCTCCCAGAGAGAGCTGGGGTCAAATCCTGTGAGAACCACCGAGTTCTTTTCTTTGCTGCTCAAACCTCTATGGTTGAGTGTTGGGTGGTGCTCCAGCCAACTATGAAAAGGCCTCAGCTGGACTACAAACCACTGAAGACAACATGTCTACCAGTTCATCAACTGTTTCCTAGACACTTGGCTTTGGATTCCTGAACTCTGTCTTACTACTGTACTGTTTGGACAATATCTTTCTGACCCTGATGGTGGATTGTGGTTGGCATTGATCTGACTTTGACCTCTGGACTGATACTGGATAGTGACTCTGGATCTCATTGCTCTGCCTGTCTGCTTTGGAAAGTGCTTCAGTACCTGTCCATGCTGCTTTGCCTTTTCCCTTGTGTAAGGCCGGAGGTGAGAGGAAAGCCCCTCTCACAGGAGTGCCGTCTCTCCCACCCACATCCGACAAAGAAGTACAGACCCTACCAATTCCCCCTCCCAGGAAGATAAGATCATCGGGATCAGATCTGGGGAAGATAGAGGAGAATTTGAAGGGACTAATGGTCAAAGAAACCGTGACTGTTTTGGCGGGAACAGAACGGAAGCCGCGGGTGGAAGTGGAGGCTGGTCTGGCGGATATAAAGAGGGGTGAGGAGGAGTTACCGCCAGGCTGGGAATGGATTTGGTTAGAAGATCCATGGACAGGGAAGGTTGAGAAACTCCAGATACCAAAAGAGGAGGCGGATGCCCGGAGAAAGATGGCAATCACCCCTAAACCTTCGTATTAGGGAGAGAGAGAGCGTGAAAGACCAAAGAGTGGAGAAGGAAGTTAAAGGAAGAAAAGGAGAAAGTTGAAAAAGAAGAGAAAGGATAGAATGGAGGGTGAAGGAGATCCAAATGAGGGGATACCCAGGGACCCTGGCAGATGCCCACCACCTCCAGAGAGCTGGCCTGGTTGGACGAGAGAGATGAGGACACCATCCCCTTACTGGAAGGGGAGACAGGACAAATATTGAACCTGGGTGCAGCCCTAGACTGGCCGGGACTGTGGAACATTCAAGGGGGAAACCACTTTAAGGTTGAAGAATGGAAACCTCTAGCCAACACGTTGTTGGAAGGGGGAAAAGGTTGGAATATGTTTGCAGATACCAGTTTCTTGTTAAATAATGAAATAAATGTTACACCGATTTCAAAACTTCGCAAGTCTGATGATTTATTTGAAGCTAAACAGGAGCCAGAGAATGAACCTTCACACCTTGGATGCGGGCTCTCTGGCTGGAAGCCACACCTTCCTTGCTCAGTACAGAACAGGACAAAACATTTGCAAGTGGTTTGAAGACTGGACTGCATTTGACCTTTCCCTAACATACCTGCTCAGGTAAAGTGGGTGCCTTTCCGCTTTAGCTCCAAGACTGCGAAGCCTTGACATATGAAACTTGGCAGATATACTAAGGCAGTGGTTCCCAATTGTATACCGCTCATGTTTCAGTTTCTTTCTGAATAGTTAAACTATATGATTCTTCCACTTATACTTTTAGTAAAGCTGATCACTATTTGCTAGCGAGACAGTTCATTCATTCAGGGTTATACTGATTCTTCTAGCCATGTAAGCACCATGTGTACTGCCCAAAGTTTTAAGTGAACTGACTCTTCCTCTAACCTTTTAATGAAGCATTTCCTTCTCTTCTGATGAGTTTTTCAGCAGCCTAATATCTCACAAGTATTTTTCTAACAGGTTTGTAAAGATAAGATGATTGCTTTCTTCACTACCACCTGTTCTCTATATCTGCTGAAATTTTTTACCCAGATGTTCTCCTGGTTTCACAGATGTTAGGCTTCTTTTGTTTCTGTGGAAAAACCAATCAATATATTCATTGCTCCAAACACAAAACAGCTGAAATAATATAAAATGTGCCCTGAGCAATATAAATAGTGGAATTAGAACACACACACATATTAGGAAAATAGTTAACACATCTAGTCTGGATACTATCTGTGTTTTCTGAGAAAAAAAGTATTTTTATATTCAATGGAGCTTCCACAGAATTGCAGACTTAACATAAGAATATGCAACATACCATAATACATTACGGTACTTAATAAGAGTTTTAATAATGCATTTTAATTATACACTTACTTTAAAACAGAAGTGAAGAAGCTATAGCACTCCAGATTTTATTAGAACCTATTAGCCCCAACTAATGGTAGGGGATACCCATCCTAGTACTTTCCCTTTAATGGTGCTATTCTGCATTATTTTGGAGGCACTCTGCCTGGCTTTTACAGTAGATTGCAAAATGATGTGAAATGACTTTGACCTAATTCAAAATGATACAATCCAGTCTGACTCTGAACCTCAACTAAATCTATTCAAAATGGCCTGATGTGGATTCCACTGAATCAGTTGTGTGACACAAACTAAATATAAGGGAAGGGGGAAAATCTGTCTGATGTTGAAGCCACAGAGGCTGTATTTATTCTGTTTTAAAATGCTGGGCGGGAGTGGAACTACTCGAAGTCTACTAGATCTGTTTAGCAGGTATCTGATCACAATTGGGAATGTCCTTAGGAGCAGTTTGGACAAAAGAAGCAAGTTGACACTTCCCCCTTTTAATTTATAAACTTATTCTATTATCAGACAATGTACACATTTGAGTAACAGCGACCTAGATTTTAAGAAACTGATACCTTTTAGGTTTTAGTTTTATTACGTCAGTTTGGCAGCAAATTGGTACAATACTTTGAAAGGAAATGTAAACAGCGCTACAAACCATGCTTTCTGAACAGCTCACACACAAAAATAATTCCACCTCAATTAATCTGCAGACAATTTCTGGCTTGTCAAATGTTCGGGCCACATTTTCACTGTAGGGGTGCTTCAAAACATTTTTGAAAGGAAATCTGTAATTTGTCTCACTACTTATCTAATACAAGCCCAAGAAATACAGTACACGCAACGGCTATGATGGCCTATCTTATGCACCTTGCGCTTTCTGCTTCTACATTTGGTGGTTTGATTTTTAAATTGTTTTTGTTATCTATTTCAGTCTTGTCAGTTCAAGTTTATTGTATTAGCTAAAAGCCGTCACAATTGTTTAAAATACAGATATGGTCAAATAAAATCATGATAAAATCAAAGACATATAAAATAATAAGAGACCCTTCATATCTGGGAATCTCCCACACAATTGATCTCAATGGCTTTCAGAAAATTAGCTCGAATACTTCTGGCCGCTTTTGCGAACAGCGCTGTTCTATATGTAACATAAGAGGGTTGTTATCTATTTTGCTATTCTACTTGTTATGAACCACCCAGAACAGTGCATTACACTAATGGGGAGGTATATAATGCTAATGAAATAAATAAATAGTGTGGTTTGGGAAGTTGCATGAAGCAATGTGCCTCTTTAAGAAAATATACCGATTTCCTTTTACTTCCATTACTTTTCTTTCCAAGACGGATTCACTCAATAAAGGCCACCATGGCTTTAGATCGAAATAGGAGGTTATCAATTCATAGGGTTGCCACAAACTCGGAGCCGGCTTGACAGCACCTAACCACCACCATTTTGCGCTCTTCTCCAGTTCCAAATTTGTCCTGGTCTGGGCTTTCAAGTTCTATGCCAGGCATGACTGTTTCCGCGCGCTCGGCTATTTCCGTAACGCTTCGCTTTGCCTCGGCGCAGTTCGGCTATTTCCGGGAAAAGCCGTTGCAACTTCTTCGGGCATTCCCGTCGCGGGACTGCGGCGCTTCCTTTTTTCCCTCCACGCGCGGTGTCGCAGTGCATTGTGGGGGTGCGCGGCGCATTGTGGGGCGGAAAGAAGGAGGAGAATCCCCGTCTTGGGAGTCGGGCAGCCGCCATCTTGTCTAGCTGCTGCGGGGCCTTGGGCCTGCTTCGGTAGAGGAGCCTGCGAGGTGACCGTGGTGCACGGAGTGGATGTTGGGGGTGCCTTAAGAGGTGTGTTGAGGGCCGCTAAGCCGAGGTTTCGCGGAGCTGTGCTCGGCGCTCGGTATGGGCCGTTCCCGGTCGCGGAGTTCGTCCCATTCCAAGCGCGTCAAAAGCTCCAAGCACAACAAGAAGAACCGGAGCCGGTCGCGGTCCCGCTCCCGGGAGAAGGAGCGGGCGCGCAAGCGCTCCAAGTCGCGGGAGAGCAAGCGAAGCCGGCGGCGAGAGTCCCGCTCCAGGTCCCGCTCCAACACCGCCCCATCCCGCCGCGACAGGGACCGGGAACGCGACAGGGACCGAGATCGCGCCTCCTCCCCGCCCGACCGCATCGACATCTTCGGCCGCACCGTTAGCAAGCGGAGCAGCCTCGATGAGAAGCAGAAGCGGGAAGAGGAGGAGAAGAAAGCCGAGTTCGAGCGGCAGCGGAAAATGTGAGCCCCGGCTGGGTGGCAGTGGGCTGGCGGAGGAGGGTCGGGGAGAGGGAGGCGTTGGGAGGAGGAGGAGAGGGAACAAGGTGGTCTTTCTCGGGAGCCCTTGGCTCAAGCGTGAAGGGAACCAGGAGGCTGAGTTGGCTGTCCTGTCTCTGGAGTAGTTGCGAATGAAACCACCAGGGGAGAGCTTCTCAGGAAACCCGGTTGGCCCGGAGGCGAGGGTTTTTTTTGGGGGGGGGCGTGCTGCGATGAAGCCGACTGGTCGATCCCTTTGGCAGAGTCGCTATATATTGACAGAGAAACGAGTCCAGCCAAAAGATATTGCGGTGTCAGGGTGTCGATTGTGGGAGAGCTCTTAGGTCCTTGCTGGCAACGAGCTGAGGTCTCTTCTGACACCTGCGGAGATGCTGCTTTTGGCTGGTCACCTGCCTTAAATACAAACGCCCACTCTCCCTCGCACCACCCTTAGGAGATCAAAGACCACCCCCTTTTTGTAGTCCTCTCTTTCCCCTTAGTATTCTCTGGCTAAAGCCCTTAGGCCTGAACTGTCACTGATGTGTGTGTGCTCTCAGGTCAGGGCCTTCCTGGATTTCCTTCCATTTACTCTCTATCTTCTTACCACTTCTGAATGCATATTTGTTTGTAATTAATTTCCCGTGCAGGAGTCTTTTAAGACTTTGCGCCACATTTAGTTTTCCCAATGCTTGTAGCAAACAGTTCAGTTTACTAACTATGTACAGTACTGTATTTTGGGATTAGAGCAGCGCATTGGGAGAAGGTGGAGAACTAATGAGTGTTTGATGGAAAGTTACATCACTGTATTCAATTGACTTTCATCAAGTAACTTCCTTAATTTCTTTAACTGTGATTGTTGTCATTCTGACAGGCTTTAAATATGCATTTTTAACTTCAAAATATAGTTTAATATTAATGGAAGTATAGTTGTTTATATAGGTAGTGTGTTAGACCCTAATATAGAAAGAAAAGGAATGCATCATTGATTTGTTCACTAGATGTAGAGCAGCTCCTTTTGCAGGCCAGCGTAGCCCTTCCCCCTCCATTTTGGCACCTGGCCAGTATAGCTCTTGGCTTTCACTACCTTGCAGCTAGAGCATTCACTGCAAGGGAAGTTTCCTGTGCTTCATTCATGATGAAGTATTTAGTGATCTATGCCTGTCTCTGGCTTGCAGCAGAATCAAGTGAAGTGCTGCATCCAGGGTTCTGATGACAAGCAGTGCATTCAGAGCTTCAGTATGAGACACTTTCCAAGAACGGAGCAAGCAGGAATTGATCCAGTTCTGTAGATCAGAGGGCTGTTTAAATTTCACAGGAATATTGTATATATAGACACACATCTGACTGCTTTCAGTCATGTAAATTTGGGTGGAATAATCTGAGCATTGAACCAAAACAGTTTTTTTAAATTCATGTAGTGAACAATGTGTCTTGTTCTGCCAGAATCCGATTTCCATCATGAAACTCATCAATACTATTATTTTATAAGTAGAGTAAAATAAATTGTGTTTTATATAGGCTCAATATTTTGATCATTTTTTAAAAAATAGTAGATAATGGCTTAGCATACCCGGTGTGATGCAATGGACAAAGTGACAGACTAGGACTCAGGAGCTCTGAGTTCAAATCCCTGCTCAGTCATGGAAACTGGGTGGGGGTGTGGAACTGGTAAAACTACTCTTCACTTACCTGGAAAGCACTACTAGGGTTAGTATAAGTTAGTTCCGACTGGATAGCACATAACTAACTTAACTAAGATGGTGGCTTGTGCAGATTGACTGTTTCTGAGTAGTGTAATATGGTACAAGACCACTCATGGAAAATGCAGCAGCTGTTTCTGAGGATTTCTCATCCATGCTTAGTGTATTCTGTGAAAAAGTTATACTATTCAGAGTATTGTGCCACTGGTTTGTGAGCAATTAGTTGGATGAAAAAGCAAACAGATAACAATGTCCAAGCTGACTTAGCTGTTACAGTTAAACACCATTGTGATCTTTTCCTCAGCTTAAAGAAACAATTTCCCTGTAATTTAAAGATGTTACAGTACTGTCTTCTGAGATTTTCTTTTCTTTTCTTTACATCCCACATTTATCACATTAGTTGTTTAAATTCATTTTAGTTAATTTTGTACGTACACACCTTTAAGTGTTGTGACAGAAGGCCTCCAGCAGCTCTATGACTTATAAGTGTGCTGCTGCTTGAAATGAAATGCCTACACTGAAAGGTCAGTGAGTATCGTGTCTTAATGAGAAGTAAAGTTTGATTCATGACTTAAACTGAAGTGAGGAATTCAAAGGTGCCTAGGGTGATCTGGTGCAGCTAAAATAATTAACGTCTTGAAGTTGATTCTGATTATCCAAGAAGCCATGACTTGTAGCAAAAATTGAATACAGTAGTATTGACATACACAGTAGTGCTTTATTAAAATTTCAGAACATTTAGTTAAAATCTGGATTAATAGTGTGCACTGTGTTCCAGTAAGCTAGATATAATGTAATGCAGTGCCTTATATCTTTATCCTTGATTTTTGGCCCATCCAGATGTGTTTACCTATATTATGCACACATACATATTTTCATGTGTTGCTCTTGCAAGTATTTGGACAGTATATTTGAAGTAATTGTCCATGACTTAAAATATCAGATGGTGCCAGATTTCCGTGCAATCTCATGAACTCACTTAACATGCAGTATACCAAATAACTAATTAAAATCATTGTTCTTACAGCCTGTGCAGCAAATGCAGAAGTATGTCAGAGCTAGCGCAGCACCTGTGATGGTACACAGAATCTGTGTACCTATCTGTGACCTTTCTCCATATACTAATTTGTGTACTTTAAATTTAGTGGTATAAGGACTCAAATACCAAGATGACCGCCTCCTATGTAATACACCCTTAGAATTTTTACTCTGAGTTTCATTTAGCAAATTACTTTTATGTACTGTAATTTTGAAGCCTGTTGCATAGTGATTAAATTGTAGTACTGCAGTAAAGACTGTTCACAACCTGGTTTGATTGTGATGGCTCAGGTAGCTGGTTCAAGGTTAACTCAGCCTTCCATCCTTCTGAGATTGAGAAATTGAGTTCTCAGCTCGCTCAAGGTGTGTGTGCAATGTGAGCTTGCATAATTAAATTGTACACTACCCAGAGAGTGCTTTAAGTGCTATGGAGTGGTATATAAGCAGCACACTTTGCATTTGACACATTTAAATTGTATTAGATGTTATTTCAGCACATGCTTCTCTTCATTAAAATGAATGGCACAGGTACTCTGGAATTCTGGCTATTGTTTCTCACCCTTATGGTTGGAGGGGAAAAATGAAAATATGATGAAACAATTATTTTTAGAGACAAGAAAAACATTAAGCCTAGTTTTATGTTGATGGATCCTAACACTTGATTAAGATTAAATGTTGCCTTGGGTTAATGTTTTAGCATACCAATTTAAAATATGTCTATGTGTACCTAACATCTTCTGGAATTAAGGAAATAACATGCAAATTACATTGCACAGCTAAAGTAAATAGAGCTTGCCCCTTGGCTCAAGATGTACTCTTTTTTGCTGCTCTTGATGCTTAGTCCATTGTAGCTTAAAGCCATTCCCGCAGGTTTGTATTATTGTCAGTTAGCATTGTCCCTCTTATGCATTGACCTTCATAAAATGTCTGTGTTTTTACAATTTTGTATGTTGCTTGTGTACTTAACTGAATTGCTGTAAAACTGTTCAAAACTAAATTTGAGGTATTTCTGTATTTCAGCACAATACACTCAACTAATGAACGTGAAATTTAGTAATAGTGTTTTGTAGCAGGAGTTGTTGAAGGCACTGCATAATTCTTACAATTGTACACATGTCCAGTGTGCTCTTCAGGCTTTTTGATTATACTACATATGTTGTTTGGGAGATTAGATTGTATGTTTGGTAGAAATAGAGTATTATATTTTAATGTACTTGTACATTATAGCATTTACTCTATTTAAAAACTCATCCAGTTGAGATCCGAAAATAACACATGCCATCACATCCTGCATTTCTACTGCTACATGTCTATATGATTGATATAGATATATGTAACATGTCTGGGCATATATCTGCTTAGGACTTAGCATGCAATATAACGTTGAATAAGAGGTGATCCGAAATAATAATTCTGTCCTTCTAGTCGGCAACAGGAAATAGAAGAGAAGCTTATTGAAGAAGAAACAGCCAGAAGAGTGGAGGAGCTTGTAGCAAAGCGAGTAGAAGAAGAACTGGAGAAGCGGAAAGATGAGATTGAGCGGGAAGTTCTCCGCAGGGTGGAGGAAGCTAAGCGCATCATGGAAAAGCAGTTGCTCGAAGAACTCGAGCGACAGCGACAAGCTGAACTAGCGGCTCAAAAGGCCAGAGAGGTAACGCTCGGTCGTTTGGAAAGTAGAAACAGTCCATGGCAAAACTTTCAGTTTTGGTTTGTGCCTCCTGTTGCGTTCAGAAGGAGATGGAACACAGCAAATCTAATTCCCTTCTTGTGTAAACTTGCATTGCTACGAAACTTAATTTCTAACTTATTCAGAGGAGCTCACTGGTACCTAAACAGTTACTCTCCTAAAACTTGTGCAAGGATACTTGAATTCTAATGGAACTGATCTACATATTTGAGAATTGTTTGAAACTTTTGCCATGGCTGCAGGATATATCCACAGTCCTTTCTTATTGGGGGGATGGGTTAAACAATTTGTAACTATGTATCCTTCATATGTTTTGCTCTACCTAGACTGTAAGAGGCTTTATGCCTTCAGTCGGGGGGGAAAAAAAACAGGGTCCAGCGCTGAGTTGCAGTGCCTTGTAAAAGAAACAGATTTGGTTAAAATCCCTTTAAGGCAATCATGCATTTTTTTCCTGAAAACATAGTGGACTCATTCTGAAACCCTGATCCTGTTCACTTTCTTCACAAAAGGCTTATGCCAAATTCATGAGAACAATTTTTTCAGTGACTACTAACAACTCCTTCTTTTTCTCTAGACTAGAGAGTTGTAAAAGAGCAGGTTGTCCTTGTCTGAAGTTGAGCTAAACATGTGACTTCTTCTGTCAGCAGCTGGAGCAGAAGCTGAAAATGTCTTTCTGTGAGACAGTAATTTGCTACTGGAGGTTTTAATGCTTGCCAGCACTAATCACTCCAGGATCCTAAAATTTTGAAGTTGCACTCCTTTTAAACTTTACTGAAAATAGTTCTATCTGACAACTCACTCCATACCATTCCCCCCCCTCCCCCAGTTTGGTGATCTGATTAAGTGCGTTTAGTTATTAGTTGATAATAGAGGAGAAGTACCAGTATGACAATTTTTCCCTACAAGTTTTATTATGATACAGCATGTTTAAAATAAAAAGTAATTGCATGTGCTGTAAATTTAGTTTAATTTTTGCAAAACAAAATTGGATTGAAATAATTGCTGAATTAATTATTATTGCATTTAAAAAATCTTGTACAATGGATTTTGGCTCAAATAGTAGTCCTCCCCCTTCCCTCCCCATTTAATAATTAATATCAGAGGGTGAGCATGATAGTGACTGATCTTATCAGGACTGTTTACTGCACAGTGTAATTCTGAATTCCTGGAGTGAAGGGTGCCAACCTGTAGCTGGTGACTAGACCTAGTGAGAAGTATTTTTCTGACATGCTTTGTTTCTATTAACTATATTTTTGTGCAGACCTCAGGCTAATTACAAAAACGTCCAGATATTAAGATAACTTGAACATTTACAATGGTTACTGAAATTACTCTTCAACCTTCTTGAAGTCTTTTTACTTATGGTTTGCGTAACGAAGTTTCTTTAAGTTTATAAAGGACACTCAGCTTCACATTTTGTTTCCATATCCTACTTTCTCTGGATTTCTGAATTCCAGTTTATATTGTAGAAAGACAGTTTGATACTGTCTTTAAACTAAGCTTGTTTCACTATAGGATGTTCAGTCCGTTCGCCCATGAAGGAAGCCCTTAGTTCCACAGATATGGATTACAATTTGTACTTTTCGCTAACAGTAAATGTATTTTTTCTTATTTAATTGTTTGCTTAGGAATGTTTTATATATTTTTGTTCCTTCTTACCGTAAACATCTGCATTCCTCAGCTCAGCCTTCCTTGTATGTTGTTTCTTTATAAATGGTTGAGCTGCTGATGCAGGCATTGCCAAGCTAACAGTACAAATCATTTTAAAGAGGAAGCTGGCGCGTATGGCAGCCGAGGAGCACACTCTGCAGGACACTGGACAAGACAGTAAATATTCAACTTTTAATGCTGATAAAAGGAGTATAGGTAAAGAATACGTAGGTATACATGATTGGTGAGACAAACTATTCACTTTATTTATATTTTATATATTACTCTTTTAATTTGGTAAATACTATCCAGTTTTTGTAGTTGTCCTTGTTGATTTGTGTGATATTAAAATACTAGTAATAACTGGCTAGGATTCTCTGATTAGGGAGGGTTTAGTTGGTTGCTGTTTGGACTGGGAGGGATGATTTAAATTTAGAGCTAGAAACCAATTTTAGTGGCTGCACAGTTTGCTGTTTGAAAGACAAAGATGGTGGCTATAAAGCTGCCCCTTTAAGTCAGTTCACGGAAGGAATTCCTAGGAAGACTAGTGCAGATGGGCTAGTGAGTATTTTACTTTTCTAACATCTTACCCTGTCCTCCCCTTTAGGAGGAAGAACGTGCAAAGCGTGAGGAACTAGAACGAATACTAGAAGAGAATAATCGAAAAATTGCAGAAGCACAAGCTAAATTGGTAAGTTCAAGCAATATTTAAGAAATGCAGAGATGATACACTACAACCTGATACTGAAGAATGTAGTCATTGGAATGATTAGATTTAAGAATATTGAACTTTGCTGAAGTGTAGTAGGATGTGTGTGTCACCATTTCTTCCCTTAAAATTCTTGAAAACTGGCTCCACAATGTTGGGGAGCCTTCTAGGGTAGCTGCATAGGCAGTAGGTGTGACCAAGCCAAATAAAAGTAGCGCTGTTCCACAAATGCATACGTAAGTATTAATAGATGGGTTTGTACAATGTTACATAGTGAACAAAATCCAGTTGGCATTGTTATGCTGATATAAACCAGACCCAGGCACCAGAAATAATTAATGGAAAGTTTCCTATTCCAAGGCTCCAAGTCTTCCTAGGCCTCCCCTTTGCCCTAGGGAAGCCTTCAGTAGTAAACAGTGACTGTTGTTGGGATTGGCACCAGTGGTGATCTAGCAGCATTTTTTACTATTAAAGCCTCCCACCTCCAACACCCCCCCCCCGGCTTTAGGCTCCCAAAAGCTTTCCCAGGGCAAAAAGGGAGCTCTAGGGAATCTCAGAACCTGAAATAGGGGGATAGAAAGTTTTCAGTTAAAGTAATTATTTCCAGCGTCCTGATCTGGTTTACAGTGGTGTAATTGTGCCAACAGGGGTTTGCTCAACAAATGCATTATTTGGTAATTTTCCATGCCTATCTGAGAGTTAGGGCAAGTAGAAAGAAACACTTGGATTTAATTTCACATTTTTGTATAGTATACTAGTCCAAAGTATACAAGCTTTTTTGCATTTATATTCAATCCTGTAGTGACTTGTCCTTTATTAAAGGATGATTTCTGAGATCTTGCCTACTCCTAGAAAATTTACTATTAAAATTTCTCCTTGGAGCAGTGAGGATATACGAAGTTTTAGAAACACGTCATGTTTCAGTCATGTAAATGCATTCTCAGTCATTAATCCTAGAGAATTTGACCTTGTAGCATTTTTCTGTCTTGGCAAATTAATACTAAATATAGAAACTTGGTGTAATAATATGGAGACAACAGATATTTGAGAATTGCAAATTGTGTTGAGTAAATCCTACTGTTTTCATGTTACAGGCTGAAGAACAATTGAAAATTGTTGAAGAACAAAGAAAAATTCATGAAGAAAGGATGAAACTAGAACAAGAAAGACAACGTCAGCAAAAGGAAGAGCAAAAAATTATCCTAGGCAAGGGAAAGTCTAGGCCAAAACTATCATTCTCACTAAAGAGTCAGGATTAAATTTCAGCTCTGAACTCTGATGGAAAATGAAACAAACTTTGTATAGTAGCTTCATGTTGAAGTGTTTTTTTTTTCTTTTGTGTTTTTTCTTTTCTTTTTGGACATCTGAAAAGTTAGTTTGTTCTAATAGGGGCCGTGCTCTGCATCTCTTATTTTAACTTCTGTTGAGTTAAATCCTTATCAGATCATTGTCTTTTTAAATAATCTCTTATCATCTATTTTGATTCTTTGATAAAGTGGCTTGATGCAGGTCAGGTCACTTTATGAATTATGTATGATCTGATAAGGTTTTTACTGACCCACTGATCTCAGAGTCTTACTCTGATGTTAACCATTAATGCTGGTTTTGCTAACTTTAAAAAAAGGTTAGCAAAAGTATTGGTAAATTCCCATGGTGTATTGGATCCTCAGTGGTTTGTTTTATCAGTGTCTAATGATACTATCCCACTATTGTGCATCTTGATGTTCCCGATACAGGTAAGGAAAAGTTGGTCAGTGTTTCTGGAGATATGTGAGGGAAGTTCAGTATTGTCTAGAATTGTTTTTATTCCTCTGATAAAACTCAACCAGCATTCCCAATTGTGTAAATAAATCAATTTGCTGAATAAAGTAAAGTCTTAAATTCATACGTTTAAGTAAATTTTTTAAGTGCATGTATGTTTACATATGAACAGAACCTGTTTTTTTCCAGCAAAAAATTCCAATATTAAAGTCAACAATATTTTTTGTACTTTAAGCACCAGTCTGGCACCTACAGTTAAAACTAATACAGTTGTGCTATCAAATGCTTTCGCTGATTTAATGGTGATTTTATTTTACTGGCGCTGTTACTTTATGCACAGTCTCTCTCCTTTTCTCTCTCTGATAGAAATCAAGAATTGGTTGGTTTCATGCTAGCTAAGTGGAATTGTTGACTTTTCATATTCCCTTGCCTTCTTAATTTTTCTTGAATTTTAAAACCAGTTTGCTTTGTGACATTGCAGGATTATATATGAGAATAAGTCTAAATTTCCGTGAGTTCATAAATTGGTTTCCTTGCTTTGGTTTGTTGTCCCTTCTTCTCCCTCGGCAGATGAATACCATATATTGAATAGTTATGATTACCATGTTCCAGGAAGTATTCACTGTTGTGCCTGCCTGCACGGTAGTAATGTTTGCAAATACATACATGCTACACAGGGAAGATGTAAATTAATTATTTTTTTAAAAAATCAAATTGATTTAAGTCATGATTTAAATTAAAATTTTGATTTAAAAAAATTAAATTGTCAAAAACTCAATTTTTAAAAATACTGATATCATGATTTAAATACATTTGATTTAAATCAAATCCATTCTGCTGGTATTATTTACCCATTTGAAGAACCAATTGTCAGGCACAGCAAATCTTGAAATTTGATCAGTAAAATAAATCAATACTATACAGTAAATTGGTAGTAAAGTAAGTTGTGTTGTTAAGCATAAACGAAAGTAAACATAACCTGTAAGATCTGCTCTTATTTGGATTTTTGCATTGAGCGAGGGGTTGGACTCGATGGCCTTATAGGCCTCTTCCAACTTGATTATTCTGTGATTCTGTGAAAGCAAGTAGTTTATATCCTAGTTTATTCAGGCACAAAATGTTTGGGTCCTGCTTGGTTTTGCCAGTCGTACAGTATTTTTTGCCCTTGTTGAAAATTAAGCTTTCTGACATAACTTTGTATTAGAGGTTTTTTCAGTTGTCATGTACATGTTCTGCTAGAACTGCAGCATCCACAGTTCATTCTTCATGTCTTATCTCAGTTGTTGACTCAGAATGGATCATATGATATGGTGCCCTTTTAGTTTTACAAGTGTGTAATGTTCTCTGTGTCAGATTTCTAGTATGTGGCCCAAATCCAGAACAGCTTGCTGTTTTGGTTGCCCATAATACAGGATGAGAAGATAATGGTGAATTACATAGTTGAACAGTTATGTTTGTAATAAATTAATACTGCTGTAAGCATTGTTCTGTTCTTACTTTGACTGGCATTAGGTTTAAATCTAGCATAACACAATGGGGAACTTCATGGCTCAGTAGTTTGCTTTAAACCAAGTTGCCCTAAAATGGTAACTAAAAGAAGCAAAGATCTTTTACTGTACCGGAAGGGATTGTTTTTTATATTCTGTGCCGTTTAAGAAAAAAACTTTTGAAAGATACATGGACTTGAACATTTTTGATGCATTAGTGGATTGGATTTAGAGTTTACCTTTGCTGGCACAGACACCTTTGAGTGGCACTCAGGATATGCTAGCAAGTGGAACTATGTTTAGCAATTCTCCCTTCATCGAGTGCCACTTCCCTTGCTTTTTTGAGGATTTAACAAAAATACATTCCCCGTGCAACTAATGGGGATAGTCTGCTACCTAAAACGTCTGGATAGTAGATGCTCTTCCTTTCATACAATGCATTGTCTGGAGTCTAGAGGATACATTCTCCTAAGCTGGCATTTGTTCTTCTGTACAAAATACTCCCCCCCCCCCGCCGCCCAATCAGACTAACATGCCTTGAAACCTATTTTATAGTTGAAGGTAAATATGCTTACAAAATGCCTGTTGCATGAAATGGTGCTGCATAAAGCCGAAGTCCCCTACTTCTACACCTTCAACTGAGAGAAGCAAGGCTTTGTTTAGCACTTATCTTTTGAGCTTGAAGTTGATAGCCTAATAACCCAGTAGAAGCAATAGTCTTTCATGAGGTAGTGGCTGCTTGTTGTTACATGCCATCAAGTTGCTTCTGAATGAGAGATCTACAGAATGTTTTTTCCTCAACAGCTCTGCTCAGCTCTCGTAAATTCAAGGCTTCCTTTACAGTGTAAATCCATCTCATGTTTGATCTTGATCTTTTCCTTCTGACTTTAACCTTTACCAGCGTTATTGTCTTTTCTGGAGAATCTTGCCTTCTTGTGATGTGCCCAATGTAGGACAGACTCGGCTTCAACATTTTTGTCTCCGAACATAATTCAGGCTTGATTTTGCTCTAGTACCCACTTGTTCATCTTTCTGGCAGTCTAGGATATCTGCAAAGGTCACCATTATTTAAATGAATCATTTCTTTTTCCTTTCACCTTTTTTAACTGTCCAGCTTTCACACCTGTACATAGTGATCGGGACTACAAATATATGGATGATTTTGGTCTTGGTCTCCAGGGACACATCCTTAGACTTTAATTTTTTTAACTCCTTTATTGCTGCTCTTCCGTGTCTTAGTCTTCTGATTTCTTGGCTGCAGTCTCTATTTGAATTAATGATTGAGTCAAGGTATACATACAAAATCTTTCACTATTCTAATTTCTTCATTGTCAACATTAAAGTTTTGTAGTCATGATTTTTGTCTTCATATTATTCAACTGCAGTCCTGTTTTGGCACTTTCTTCTTTCACTGGAATTCATTTCAAGTTACTGCTGCTTTTGGCTAGTAAGATGGTGTCATCCGCATATCTTAAATTACTGATGTTTCGTCCCCTCGGTTTCACTCTTCCTCCATCTGAATCTTTCTGTATGGTATGTATTTTCTGTGTACAGACTGAACAGATCAGTGGTTGCTTATGAATGAAAATACTTCAGCGCAAAATCAGATGTTTCAAGCAAGCAAAAAGATGAAGTGAAAAGTATGCTATCCTTGTTTGTACTGTGTGCTAAATAGTTCCCTGTACATTAGAATCGTACTGTTCGTTTATGTAAATAAAATAATGTAAGTCTCAGCGACAAAGGGCCAGTCATGAAAAAGATGCTGACTGCATTTCTGGGCAGTTGGGTGATTGGGTGTACACTCAGCATGTAGCATGTTAATGCGTGGCTTTTTGCCACAAAGACCTGATTTCTTTCCAGCTAGTATAACTTGCTGATCGGATTCTAGCCATAGTTTCTTACAACACTTTTAAAATGCCTTCAGATCTCGGAAGTATAACAGGTATATCTTGCTATATTATCAACACCTGCAGTTTGAATAATGGTACTGATTGTCAGGTTTGTTGTGGTGTAGGTTTGTTTTATTCAACATCAAAGTCACTTTTCTAATAAAAATACCAATTTCTTTACATCCAGTAGCCAAGCTTACATGGCCATGTATTCTTTTGTTCTAAGGTTTTCTTAATACAGTATAAGGAAGAATTTATGTTGAAAAGTAATTCCAAGCGACTTGAGGCTTTGATTAGTAGATTTGCACCTCTTGTTGATTAATATATTTATTATCTTGGTTACCTGAGGGTCCTCTAAATCCTGTGTTTCAAATCCTGGTTAGTATATAAGTGACAGCTTGGTTAAGGAGTACTGTGTTGTACTCTCTTGTAGTTTGAGAGAGGAAATTGGCAGCTGACTTGTCTCTTCCTTTTCACTTTAAAATGTAAGGGAGGGATTGTGCTTTGCTCCCCCATTGTCATAGCCCTGTTTTCTTATTCTGTCCTTGCTGTCAGGCTTATAATTGTAAAGGATGGTGGAATGAAGTGGAAAGCATCCAGTTTTTCCACTTGCTGTGGAAAGCATCCAGCTTTTCTTCTCTGAAGTGGAGCCCAAGAACAGGGAGAGGTGCTGAGAGGCTGCAGGATCCCTAGAGAAACAGTTTTCCCCTGAAGTGTCACTCTGAGAGATGTGAAAAACGGATCTACTTATGATAGTAGTTTGCCAGGACTCCAGCAGGGCTGTTAATGGATAGGATGTTCATAGGGTCGCCATTTAAATCAGAAGCGACTTGAGGGCATCTAATAACTTCTGGTCGCTTTGATTAAACTGACCGGTGGGGCGGGAAAGGTTGATCCAAGGGGAAGCGAGAGTAGGACTAGTCGCCAGTAAAACGAGTCAGTGCTGCTGCTGAATCCTAAGCACCGGAGTATAGTTTCTAAATAGTTTTTGAGTTCCTGGTGTTTTACATTTGTTTCCTCTCTTGCGGCCCTTCGCAGCGGCGGAATGTTTTATTCCCTAAACAAAACCAAAAGAAAACATTTCCAGGGGGAACGAACGAAGTTCTTCCAGCCTGCGGTTTTAGATGGCCACCTCGTTCCACAAGGAGTGGATCCCAACCCCGCTTGAAGGCTTTCTTCCTGCTACCCTCGGGGGTGGCGACGTCTTTATTCACGGGCAAAGCCGCCGGGTGTCCATTCCTCGAGCGCCGAATCCCCTCCTGCGTCTTTCCCAGGCGCCCTTCCCAAAACGGCATGCCTCGGCCAAAAGCAGACTCACTCGGCTTGGGGGAGAAGTCGTAATGATTTCAAGCTGCAATCCGAGCCACCCTTACCTGGGAGTAACTCCCACGGGACACGATCAGTCCTAACACTCAAGAGTAAACACGCACAGGGGTGGCATCGGCCGGGAAATTAGTTCTTTTCCAGCACAGCAGCGCCCGTGGGCGGAGCACACCCTGAGCTGAAGGGAGAGGCTCTCAAGGCCGGAAAAGGTTGCACAGAGGTGGGGCCCTGCCCATTGAAACAACGGTCGGTTCCGTGTGTGACAAAGTCGACCCCTTCCGAAACAACAAGGGGCGGGGGGGCGGCGGCGGCATCCCTCCGCTCTTACCGTCGCGGCCCCTGCCCTTGGGTATGCTTGCGCGGGTGGACCCGATCCGATTACCTTCACCCTGAGAGGAAAGGTTTCGGGGGGGGGGGATCCGAGC